TCTTAAGCAAGGTACTGAACTTCTCTTCATGTGCAAACTGGGAATGTTGTAATAGCTCTTACCTCATACAGTGATTGTGAATATTAACTAGATATGCACATTATCTTATTATAATTCATCCATATAAACACTCAATTAATGTTAGCTTATGATCATTATGCAAAAAGAAAAAACTGCAGCAAATCACTTATTCTCTCTGAATCTCACGGCAGCCCTAGATCAAGCAGCAAGGTCCTCTGTTCTACCTACACTGTCTTCCACAAAACAGTTACTTGCAGCTTAATGACTACTTGTCTTCACCCCTCACCATCCCTTGGCCAACCAAAATTTCTAAAATCTACTACTGTCATCCTCTTCCAAACAAAATTTTCAAAAGTACAAAATTGCCAAAGCTCTCACTTAGAAAAGTAAATGCTCAGTGGAACACAATCAAGTTCCACTATGAGGAGCAGGCGAACATAATGGAACTGACATGCAAAATGGGAAGTATGGCATTAACTGCTAAGCAGACTGGCTTCTCTAACCTACTATTATTAGATTACCTTTTTAAATTTTTATCTGATATCTTCAAATGGTAGAGATTGCTATTCTATTGTTTGTGAAACCAAGTACAACAGGAGAAACCTGTTTCATCTATCAAAACTTTTGATAATGTTGACAAGAAATACAAAATGCAGGCCAGAATTGGGGAAGAAGAAACAACCTAGATGCCTAGACTCGTTTGTGAAAAATTAAGCTGCATAACTCATGCATAAAAACGGTAAAAGTTCACTAGCATTGGCAAATAGGTGGTCCTAGAATCTGAATAATATCTAAGTTCGTCTGTCCATTAACTACCAGGTTGGCTTAGTGTTAGAGTAGATTCTAGAATACCGAGGGGGAAAATGGATGAAGAGACATTAACTGAATTACAATTCAGCACCAACATGATGGGCAGTATTACATCTTTGTACAGAAAGACTAGGATGAAGGCAAACCAAAACATTAGTCCAAGCACGGCCATTAATAGCAGGACAAATATGAGACAAGGATTTAAAATGAAAGAATACAGTTCATGAGAGAAGAGGTTTGTGAAAATAAAACAATAAGTAAATGAGTTCTAATGGCAAATAGCTGCTGAAATAAGAAATTTAATGTAAAACAAACCAAGAAACCATATTGTTGCCAGTATATGTATAGGCTCCCTTTAATGGAAGACTTTTCACTATAGTATAATCTATTCAAAGTGTTATACCAAAATAAATTTACTACAGAAAAACAAATCAATAATCATTCTAATAACCATTTATATTTACATAATGCTCTTAGCAGAGGCCCCCAAACTGACAAATACATCTTGAAGCACGAAATAAATACTCTATATGGTTTATCAAAAACTAGTGTTATGTCTCTTAAACCTTAAAAACTAAAAACCGCAGGTTTGTATTTTTTCTAAAATTAGTGTTTATTATTTGCATCCTCCGTAGTGGAAGCCTGATTTCAATTTAATGCTCTGTGTTCCACTGAGCATTTACTTTTCTAAAATCCTGTCATTTCGATTACTGCTAATAAGGGCAGAACGATAGTGTTTTCGTGGGGTAAGGGAGAGGCTGAGCAATCCCTCACTGGTACATGAATGAATTCTACACTTGGCTTTTAAAATGGGCTCCTTTCTTGGAAATTTGACATACAAAAAATCCCTTTGGGTTTGCATTGCTTTCATATTTGTGACTATTTCACATGACCGTCTTCAAAGAGCCAGACACTTGTTTTTAGTCATTGCCAGGTAGACTGTATTTTCACCACAAAGTCCAACAACTAATGGATGTGCGTGTGTACATTCATACAAACATATACATTTATGTGTATGTGCATACCTGTATCACAAAAAAATGATGGTAGAAAATTTGGAAGGGTTCTAATAAATTAAATTTGGAAAGCCTAACACGTCTCAAAAAAAAAAGAGAGAAAGAAAGAAAACTCAACTGTGTGCCGACATGATTAGCTACTCCATTCAATTGGTGTGAGGTATCTGAGGCCTGCTGCATCTAACTCTTATCAAGCTGCTCAGGATGTGCTATCTCGTGGAGCAGTTCAGATGAAAACTGCTGAAGCCTCCTAAAATGGCAGGACAATGTATCGGAAGCTTAAATGAGGAAAATAGTATGGCAAAGACACAATTCGAACTTATTTTGGAACCAAAGCTCATCTCAAAAATTGTCAACCATCCAGAAGGAACCCAGCTTTGTACCAAACAAGTATTTACTTACTACGGCAGCTTCATTACCAAGATTACCAAAATTTTCCACACACTTCCAACAGTCTCTGTATGTGTTGTTACCTGGGCAACAGTCTAAAAGGCTTTTACCTTTATAGAACTAGCAGGTCAAAGAGAAGTAAAGCTTCTTCAAATTGTGTCTCATTTTAATTCAAAGCAGTAAGTATGAAATCATCAGCAGACGGAAAACCTTTGAACTACCATTAGTGCTTTGATTTGATTAAAAGACACAATTTATCGTCATTTATCTTCATTTCTAGCCACCGAACTCCCCTGTGAAATAAGGCAAGCTCCGTCCAGGTCTTCGAAACATCCTCAGTCATACAGGCTGTCACACACGTAAGTGTTGAAATCCAAGGAACTTCTTTGAGTAAAGAATCTATCAATCCCTCACAGCTGGCTTGCCTTGCCCTAAATTTTGAAAGCTAGTCAGCTCAGCTATGGATCTATATAAACTGCCTTTCTGCGTGAACCAGACCTGCCTCCAAAAATTAAGACCCAGTCATTTAGAAAACATATTTTAGATGGCTCTTTGCTTCCTGCTCTGCTACAGCCAATTTGGCAAAACAAAAAATAATGCTATCTCCTTACAAAGAAAATATTTGTCCCTTTCCACCAGTTTTAGGATTGGTAAGCCCAAGGTTGTTTCCCTGATCCTGATACTTCTCCCCTTGGCTTTTACTCTAAGGATAAATACCTAAGTGTTCTCTGAGTCATATTCTAATCAGAAGCATAGCATATAAAGTTATTTAACGTCAAGAAGTCCTAGGTGACTCCGGAAACAAAAAATGAAGGATAAACTGAAAAGCAGAGAGGAAAACTGGCAATCAAGGCTCTTCACCATCTGGTGCTGACTCTTTCTTGCCTAGCTCTTTCTCTCCATGCCTTTGATCACCCTGACCCAGAAAGGCCTTTCTCACCATGCTATTTGTCTTATTTCTACATGTCCAAATCCTATCCAGCCTCCAAAGCATGATTTACAAGTCACTTTTCCCTTATCCTTCAACTAAAAGTAATCTCTCTCTCCTCTCTAAACTCCTGTAGCACCTTATCTTTATCTCTGTACTACACATTACTTTCTCCCTTATATTATCTTTGTTTCCATATTAAATCCCCCACATGAACACAAAGGCCTCAAGGTCAAGGTTCATGCCTTATTCATCTCTAGTCAAACTGCTTAACACAATGCCTTGCACACCTTAGGCACCCCAACTGAGCTACACGAATGGCTTGGGTTAAGAGAGGAGATAAGTCCACTAGAAGCAACTCCGGTCTAGGAGTCTGGATACCCTGGTTTTGCTTATAACCAGCTATATAAACTTGAACTTCAGTCTTTAAGTATATATACCTGCAAAGTGAAGAGGTAGACTAAACTATTGTAGGCTGTTACTTTAGCTGGCTATAAAATCAATTTGGGGGTCAAAACCCATCATTTTATTTTAATAAAATGAAATAGAACAGAAAATGCCAAAGTGTGTTGTTGCAGGCAGTGGGATGCTGTAAATGTTTAACTGGCTATCCAGAAGCGGGCAAGCCCTGAACTGCGCCACGCTGATTTCCCTGGTGTACATACTCCCACCACGGCCAATTTCAAGCTGCCAACGAGATGTCCCTGAACATGGAGCTAAGTGAAAAGAGAAAGGCATAATTGCCCTTGCAAACCACTGTGACGAGCCAGCTCCAGTAAGGTTCTGAAAACATAAGTATTGTTTCCCCAAATTTTTCTTTGAACTTTGTGTGTGTGTGTGTGTGTTGAATCAGGGTATTTCTTACTGTGAGTCACAGTCAAAACAATTTAGTAAGTATTCAGCTAAACAATTACCTGGTCTCTTCCATGTGTACTACACAATGCAATAAATCTGACTCTTGATTACATATGTAGTCTCTTCACCACCACAATTTATACTTCTCTTCACAAATGCAAGTAACAGGATGCCTACTGATATCACCAGAAGGCAAATTATAGGGAGTGGAAATTTGGCTTAGGAGGTATCAGCGAAGGGCCGAGGTTCTCAGCCTTTGTTCAGCCCCACGCACCTGAGACACAACATACTCTTACAAGCGGTAGTGGTTCTTTTAGCGAAGGGTTGTGGGGAGAGGAAGAAAGGAAGAGGATATCTACAGTATGAAAAAATATCCCAGAATTGTGATATTTGTGCCCATGCCCCCCGCCACACTGAGAACCTAGGTACAGAGAAAACCGTACTGTAAAAAAGTTTCCACCTCCGATGTTTGCCAGCCAAGTTCTCCAGCATAAGCCTGCATCCCTCAACAAGATCCCATGGCTGAGAATTCCCTACCAGAATTAAGTTTTTGCCATGGACTGGGGACATGAAGTACTTGCCGAATCTAGAACAGGCAAGGGGGAAAACACCACGGCAAACAGTTGTTAGACTTGACATTCTGAGAAAATTGGGCTTTTATCAAAAAAAAAAAAGGACTTTCTTATTTTCTTATTTAAGCTTACTAAACCGAGCGAGGAGCGGGGAAGGTTCTTGAATGTATTTTTGGCTGTACTATGTCTATCACAACACAGTCTGTAACCAGATTTTTCATCAGTGTTTAAAAAGGATTGTTTTCTATTTTTAAGGCTATTTAGAAAACAAGAAGGCTCAAAATTTCAAATATACTAATATTCTTAGTCTAAATCTAACTTCAGATCAACTGAATATATGCCTAGAAATTTCCCAGGAAAATTCCCCAAAAATTACACCAAAAAAAAACAAAAAATGTCAAAAAGGAGTCAGCATAAGCACAAACTTGTTATACTCAAACAACTATTGCATCCCATCCATTGAATGAGTGCAATATGGAAAGTAAATGAAGTAAGAAAAGGAGAATGTTGAGATACAAGTTCTGCTTCATTGCATTAACTCTTCCTTATTAAGGTCCGCTTATTTTCACATATTTATAACCAATTTCATACACTAACATAAAGTGAAAATTATTCCCCGACTCTGAAAAGCCAAGAGTCAAATCAAGTCTCCATGCTCAGAATATTAGACTCCTCCTTAAAAACTGAGTCTGTTTTACCATAACTGAGGCTCGAGCCTGTACTTCGTCTGCCTCCACTGTTTGTGGTGGCAAATGCTCATAAAACTATCTCCATAAGAAACTCAACTGTCTTCGCAGTACCAGAGGCCGGAACAGCCTGGGGCTGCTGGTCATTCCCAGTAGCTAACCTATTTACATAAGGTACAAGCTATATGCATGTAGAAACTCATTAAAATTTGTGAGACATAGCAAAAAAGCTCTGTGCTTGGGAACCCCATAGGCCACGGTATCTATTTCATTCTCCAAACATCATCTATCCAGCCATAATCATGCCCACATCACTTCAAGATAATGGTAGGCTGGAATGCAGACCCGGCTCTATATCCTCAAGACAAGAAATTTTTGCTACTTAGCTACTACACTCTTCAGAGTCTATCTTTAGAAGCCTGGCTATATCCCACTCCCAATATTTTTACTTGGCACAATAGAATTGCTTCTTTTGACTACTCTTAAATATACTAATATTCTTAGTCTAAATCTAACTAAATCAGCATTAAAGATTTTCAGCTTTAATGCTGTATCATCTGAGTTCAAATAAATATACAGTAATTTAACAAGTACAAGTTTGGGTTAAGGCAAAGAAAAAAATTTTAAGTACAAGTTTTTGGAAGTCACAAATTTAGAATTAGTGAGCCGATAAATAAGAACACTCCTTTTACACATGCCTAAGAACATTCTGGCATTCAAATAAAAAACATCACAATAACTACTAGAATGAAAAGAAAATGACATGAATCATAAAGCAAATAGCAAAAGAATAAAAATTCTCAGACTATCACAATTATCATATATAAAAATTGTCATCGAATAACTCAGGCCCCCAAAACACATCATACACTTATCGTCACATCTTCTTATGTTGGCTGGTATATTCACTACATGTCCCAATAGTACGAAGACCTACTACCTGTTTCCAGCTTTCTAGAATACGAAGTAGGCTATATAATAGCCTACCGCCCAACTACATCCAATTCTCCCAGATGACTTATTAATACATAAAATCAGAGTACATTTTGAACTGATTTAATATAGACATCAGTCTAACTCAGACTCAACTAATTCCTCAAGCAGGCAACGGTTTAATACAATTTGACGATAATGTACACATGAATTTCATCTGGTCTTTCTCCTCTGCAATGTCATCATCAGTTTCATACGGGGCCCGCTATTGAGATAATGCATCACAGGCCAATTTTCCAGGGCTAGCAGCTTGTGGACCAATATTTTCCATGGACAAAATCCACTTCTAATTCGACCACAAGCAAACTTTGTATCTTCTGATGTCATAGTACTGGATATGTACAGAAGTGCAGCAGAATCCAAATATAAACACTATTATGAGAAAAGTCAAAAGGTTTTCATGAAATTGTTTTCAGAATTGTGACAAGCAACTACCTACCTCCCACCGTGTACGGGAAAATTTAAATGTATTAAAAATGCTCTCGACTTTCCAGTACCAAATACGCAGGCCTTGAAATCAGTTTCCAATCAGCGCTGAAAGCTGTCAAGCGAGCTAAAGTTCTCCTTACCGTTAGTGGTAATGAGGTTGGCGTGGCCTTTCACTTGCATGAAGCCTCAATTCGGCCACTGATCACCTAAATTCCGGCACATTTTCTAAGATAACCCTAAGAGGTTCAAGGGGAAAACACAAGCACCTGGACACACTGCCCTGGGATCAGAAACCCTGTCCATCCAGTCCCGGAGCACCCGGCCACCTCCCGCTGGCCGGTGGCCCCCTTCCACATGCTGACGCACTGCTGCCCAGCCCTGCACCGTTGGCGACCTGTGCAAAGTACTAATCCTGTCTCAGAAAGTTTGTCTCAGTTATCAGGACACCGAGCAGCTGCAACCTGGACGGGGGGTGTCTGTCGTGGCCAGCCAGTCAACTTCGAAGCGGGGCATTCCTTGCAGGTAGAGATCTGCCCAGGACGCAGCCCATCCCAGACTGCAAAACCACAAGCATCAACAGCAGGAGCGGAGCAAAGTGCCGGGCGGAGGCAGGGGGAGTGCGAGGGCGAGACACGGTCCCCGACAGTGTGGTCGAGAAGACACCCTACCCACACACCCCCCGGATGCAGGGCCGCTGGGACGGCGGAGGCGCGGCATGTCAGGAGGGCACAGCTGGGGGCGAGCGCCCGGGTCGCCACCCCGGCCCCAGGTGAGGGGCGCCGATCCCGCCCGCCCGGGCCGCGAGCAGGGTTCCCC